CATAGAAGCAATGTGAACACTGGAGCTATTTGTAATAAACTGCCATGTATCACCAGAAGTGAACATTGGATAGAAGGCATAGATGAAGGTAGATTGAAACAACTTGGTGGCAGATGGGAAGATACCAAAATGGTCTGGGGAAAGAAAAGAAGTGAGAATAGGACTAGAACGGTGAAGTCAAAGCGACTGGGAAAGCCACAAGCATAAATCTTCTTGATTGCTGCCTCTGCAGGGGGACAGCTCATTGCTGAAGAAAAGTCAGGCTTAAGTGAGACTGACAGGGAACAGGAAACAAATAGATGGTCAATAGTGCAGACACTATGAAAGAGGAGACTTTAAAAAATGAGTAGAGATAATTGAGAGCTGGGGAAAATGCGAAGAGAAGCAAAGAAGAGAAAAATGATGAGCAGCAACAACGAAAGGAGGATGTAGAGTAGGGGAGAACGTGAAGTGTCTTCCCTGTTTAGAAACACTATAGAAGATCCTAAGAAAGGCAGAACTCATCACACAGCTTTACACAAGAGGTGCCTTGTTTCCTTTATGCATTCAATCCTTTCTTCTTGCCGTGTAAATCAATGATACTGCTGCTAATAGTCACGATTTTATATCTTGCAATGTTTTTTCGGTTCAAGTTGCTGGGATAATGCAACTTTGAAAAATGCAATTCCTTTTTTTTTTTTTTTTAACTGTGAAGTTTGCGATTTTTTTTTGTCTGAAAAGGTCTGAAAATTGAACTCCTAAGATGTAAAAAAAGAAAAAGTAAATCAACATATACAAAACAAATTTTTACTAAAAAAGCATTTTTCAAGAGTAAGCCTTGATTATGGAACTCAATCAGGGATTTTTAACCACTTCAAGCTGTCAGTATTAAGTGCATTTGAAGGCGCAGCATGACTTAAGAGCGCAGTGGAGCACCTTTCTCTTGCTATGTAGAAGCAGCAACCATTAGCAAGTGCTCACTGCATAAGAACAGAGAGTACATTTAGGAACAGGTATTGGCATTACATTTTAACTTGTTTGTCATGTTTGGTTACGGTAATAAGACATGATGAGTGTCCCCTTGGAAATGCCTTTTTCTTTCCAATGACTGTAAAGACAACTCAAACTGGCTTAGGACAGATACTTAAATTTTCTCAAACCCTGATAAACGTTGGGATTCATCCAACCTATCTTAAGTTTTCTCAAAGTCAGGCTAGGTTGAGTAACACCCTTTATCAGAGACCAGTCCACTGTCCATTCAGAGAAATTCCAGAGAAAAGAATGTAGAAAGATAGTTTTGAAAACACACTATATTTGCAAAACTGTCAGCAGAAAAATTATACAACTGTTACTGAAATACATATTTTTTTCACAAGTGCATAAATGCCAAATAGGACAAATAATCACCTGCTGTGAAACCTATCCAATTCCATTAGCCTTTTGAGAGTTGTATGGTAAAGTTTGGAAAGGAATTTGATGGATCAAAAGGAACTACCAGTACCACCGAAAGGTGAGTATCTTATTATGGAAGCAGTAAATTTTATCTTTGGTAAACAACCATTCAATAAGCTTGCAAAGGTAGTGTTTGTCAGCTGTTTGCCAGCTGCAGCTCTTCAGTACATTCACCCATTGTAACTGGGGCTTAGTCACGTTTAAATCTGAATTCTACAAGGACGCAGGAGTTCACATAGATCAGCTTGCAATACTGGGATGACATCCTGTATTCTTTATATGATGCTGGATAGGCAAGATATGAAACAAGATGGTTTACTCCTGGGGGACTTAGTGCACTTAATCTTTTACCTCTGATTCCGGCTCAGTTCTTTCATGCTTTTGTCAAAAAAAAAACCGACAACAACAAAGCAAAACAAAAAGCCTCACGGTTCTTGGCTGCAGCATAAAAAAATATGCCATATGACAACTGATAGCCTAGTCACAAAGTCTTTTTAACACAAGGAATGAATAGCGATGCGTCATATGTACATATGTGAGCAATGTGAAATGCTATCTGCCCACTTGCAGTCATTTTCTTGTGTTATTTCCACAAATATAAATAGTTTTTTATCAACCACCTGGTTCTGTTCTGTGACATGCTCTCTTTGTCTCATCAGAAGCTTGGTATATGTGGGTGAAGAAATACTGAATACATTTCATAACCCTATTCTTTTATCAATAATTTCCTGTTATCATTACACAATGATTTTAATTTTGTGAATGTGGCCACAAAGGATCAATTCAATTAAACCAAATCTACAAAAGGAAAATTTCACTGCAAGCTTCCGTGCAACTGGTGAACCCAGTAATTATATATAGCCACCTATTGTGCTAGCATAATAACATGTGAAGAAGGTTTAGTTAGACACATTTACACACATAAAAAGCAATACGGGCATAGAAAAAGTCGTTTTTGCCAAAAGTATAAAACAGTCACACAGTAACAAATGAGAGCTGCATGAATCCTAGTTTACTTGGCTATAAATAAATCCAACATTTTCTTTCTCTCCATGGTAAAATAAAATAGGAGCACAGAAGCATAACAGTCTCCTTTGAGCAACCAGTCTCTTTCTGTTCAATTATAGTCATCAATCTGTTCCACCTAAAATATTTTCCTCCTTGAGAAACCAAAGAAATGAGTATTAGGATCCAAAACATGCTGTTGCAAAAATAATGTAAAAGAGGTCTTTCCTTTCGGTGAATCCATTTGTTCTGAAAGACTGTATTTTCTTTAACATGAATTTTGTAATTCGGGTGAAAAAAAATGCTGTGCTTATCTCATACTTTTAATCAGAAAATCTTGAAGAGTTTGGTAAGGAAAGGAAAGGGTTACCTTCCTTTTACAGACAGAAAACTGCAACACAGAGAGCTTAAAGCCTTTTTTTTTTTCCGAAATCTGTTTTCTATGTATATTCCTTTTGGATGCCCAACTGGAAGCCTTTAAATCCTGATACTGAGAAGTGCTAAACAGATAAAGATTCAGTTGTACGAGTACCCTTTCTCTCAACGGTGCCAGTGCCAGTGTCAGATTCTGTAGCACTGAGAAACGCTCGCCTGTGCATAATCCCACAGCAAACTGGAGAGCAGGGAAGGAACAGCCAGGTCTCTTGCTTCCTGCTGCATGCTCTTACAAAGCTTATCTAGGAGGGTGAAGGGTTTTTCCATTACTTGAAATCACTAGGCAAAGTCTAGATACTGCCTCTAATATATATGCAAGCTTTAGTTTCACTGACATCTCTGGGCTTGATGTGAGATCATTTCACAAAATTACATAGCTTGTGTTACTTACAACACAGGTTAACCATATTATGTCTTCTGGCTTGAAAAGCCCTATAAATCTACGACTATGAGAACATAAGAGAATTAATTATCATGAATTATCTTGGGGGTAACACAACAAACTTCTGATTAAGGCTTTTTCATCTTCCTGGGATGTGATACCACCAAATTGCACTGTCTCTTCCTTTACCCTATGTGCCACTGAACTGTCAAAGCATGAAGTAGAGCCAATTTGATTTAGCTAAATAGGAAAAAGTCCAAATCCCCTTCGTCATGTGATAGTTCTGTACAGACGTCTACAGAGAGCAGAATGCTGTCCACCTGTGCACGTTTGAAGAATTATAGAGAATTACTTTAAAGATGAAAAATCAAGGTGCCAAAATAATACAATCTGTGGTGCAAAAATAGTTCCAGGGTAAGTTCTCTGTGCTCAGAATCTCATCATAAACTCCAAGAACTAAACGAGCACAGAGACCAGTCCTTCCAGGCACAGGGATGGTTCCAAAATAATATAAAATGTGCATTTAGTATCCAGGAAAGCACTATGGGGAAATTAAATATCTCATAAATATTCCAGCCTAACTTTAACGACTATATAAACTGTCCTGGGTTTGGGGGGAGGGAGTGAGGGAGGGAAGGTTTTGAAGTAAATTTCTTGTCCTTTTTTTTTATTTATTGAGATGATCATCTTTAAAGTGCAAAATAACTACAGCTTTTCCTATTTGTTCATTTCCCCTGTACGGTGAGTTTGTCCTCAGTTCAAAGCATTACTGTAGGGGATCATTTCTACTGCACTAAAAAAGAATAGCTTGATCACAGTCATTAAAATTTCTTCCAAGATGTAAGTATGAAGTATTCTTTAAAACATTGGTTAGCTGTTCTTACAGCAAGCATCAGTTATTCACTTCATACTTTCTTTCAAAGGCATTTCTTTAGAAGACAGATCTTGCAATTAATGTTCAGTTTAAGATCTTTTGTTCAATGTATAAAAGGTTCATTTTACCATCCTCTCTTAAAGCCCACAGTGCACTATTGTAGATTCAGAGGCCTATAATTTTTATCAACAAGCAACTCGTCATTTCAGAAACGTAAATCAGAGAATTCTTTTTTTTTCACTCAGCATGCAGACAACTGAAGCCCTTTTTTCCCCTGGGGTGATAAGCTAGTTTGATTTTATTTTCCCTGACATTTCACCTGTCAGATTATGATAAGCAGAAGAAACAAAGAATAATCATCACATTCTCACTGAATCTCATAATCAAATATCTGGAAATATGTGATAAATTAGAAACATTATCCCGAGGGAAAACATGAACACTGAAAACACCATCAGATATCCAAATCATCTTCCAGTGACCCAGGAGTCTCATACAGGTTTTACAAATTCAGAAAGGAAGCCTGCACAGGACTGTCACATCTACTTTTTTTTTTCTTCAAATGCTAGATAACGACCTACAATGATGTAAGAAGAAAAAAAAAGTTGCAGAGTTAAGAAAGTCTATTTTATAATAAAGTGGTATGTCTTCTTCAAGTCTTTCATGAATGCTTTCCGAAAGGCACCCCGAGGGCAAGAAAGAGGACAGGTTATCATGAGATAGTATAAGCTCAAATTAAATAGTTGGCAAGGTGAAAAGATTAATGAGCCAGAACGCATCAAACATGCTCCTGATTTACTGCATCTGTAGTTTGCATGTTCCCAATTTCTCTCAGTCTCACAGTGTTGAGATTCATAAGTGATGAAAGCTTACCTGCTTGACCGGTGGTAATACTGACAGCTGCAAAAAGCCTCTGGGAACGACTCAAGTCAGAAACCCCATTCACAGCTTCAACTTCAAATGTGTAGTTAGCATGAGCTAGCAGGTCCATGACAGTGACATAGTTATCTACTAATCCAGTTTGCTGGGGCATATATCCAATGTTACTCCCACAGGGAACACATTCGCCCTGCTCCCAGCTGCACCTCTTGCACAAAATGCGGTAGGTCACATCATTTCTTCCCCCGTTGTCAGCAGGAGGACTCCACTCCAAACTCACGGTAGTCTGGTTGATATTGAAAATGAGGTTCTGTGGTGCAGATGGAGGTCCTACGTAACACACAAAAAAAGTCCAGGGTAAGTACACAGAACCACGGTGGGACACGTAGCTAGATTTTTAATTACTGAGACAGAAAATGGTGGAAGCTGTTTTCTTCACATAAACATTTCATTATTTTTTACTACACGCTGCATAAAAGCTTCCTTGAACTCACTTGGCAAGACCTTTATTTATTTTCCATTAAGGCATCAGAATAACAATTGTCTGCATATTTACTGCAACTGACTGTAGCCGTTTCTCTTCTGTGCAATTAAAGGGATTGGTTAATGTACCTTAAAGGTTGTCTTTTATAGTTTTCCCAAGTACGGCATTTGTTCTTCTCTTCTAAACATGCTGCACCAACTGCATCTAGCTCTTTGTTATCAGCTTTGATATGATTTACACAGATATTTAGAGCTGCTTTGGATTTAGGAGACTTCCTACTATTTGAACCACCAATCTGTGTAGGCCAGTCTATTTGCTGTTAAAACGTTAAGCAAGATCCAATTACAGTTCAATCAAAGCTCAGATCCACACAGGTTACTCTTCATTTTTCTTGTTACCCATTTTGGTACTATATCACATAAAGCACCTTGTCTACTACAATTTTACAGCCATGGGAAAGCTATGCCTGTGTTCTATCTGTTCCGATGAGTTACACGCTTACTTAACATGCAACTTTTTCCAATGTTCTGTCAAGTAAACATGAAAACAATATTTATGCTGATTCTATATTCACTGTCAATCTTTTTTCCCCTCTGCCTTTCAATTTCATTTACTGCTGTAAATGTACTTTTCATATATAGGAAAGGCCAACCAAAACTACCAGCTACAAGTGGCTGCACTTGGTTGGTTAAGCAACGTCCTTTACTATTAAATTCATGACTGACTCACTTGTGCATGCGACATATGGTGGATCAGAAGGTGCTCTATAATAGCTATCTTCACAATCGCATCTTGAAGATCCTTCCTTGTCAGAGAAGCTGTGAGTAGGGCAGCGGGAGCACTGCAGATCTTGTGAGGAGGATTTGTAGAAACCACGGCCACAAGCTAAAGCAGAACAAAACAAATTAAAGTTTAGTTGTGCATGGACTATTCTGATCTTTTTCCTGTCTCTGTCACACGAGGTACACATTCCTTTAAACGTCTAAATTATCCAGTCTGTTTTGTAGGCGCAAGCCAGAAGAAATCACAATTTCTTTTTCTTCAGTTGATGCTGTTAATGATTTCATGGCATTTTTATGAGTTCAAGCATACACTATGAATACCTCAGCAGTTGGCAGCACAATATTTTAACACAGAGGGCCACAGAAATATAACAAGCATCTGTTTTTCACCAAAGAGTACAATAACAGTTTGAAACAGCTGGATGCCCGCAATAGGCCTAAAAGAGGGGAAAACGGTCTGGAGAAGCTCTGCTTTAAGGCCACTGAAGTGTTTCTGGTATCTGAAATAGTTGATTTGGAATTAATGGAGCAAAGGCTACTCTTCCCTGATCTAAGAAACCCAGAGAAGCTGTACCCCACTGGTGAACCCTGATCCCGAGGAAAGAACGAGGCATGAACGCTTGTTGGACAGACGACGCTCGTAGGAAAAAGCAGAAAGAGGAGGAGGGCAGAGAGCATAAGCTGCACAACTGTTTTTTCCAGTTTCACAGAGACAACTAGGCTGAAATGCATTCACTAAAACTTTCAAGGGAAAATTAAAGGGTAGATACTTGGAAATATACATATAAGATCATTTCATGCTTTAGTTTGTCCGCTGTGAACCCATGGAAATAAAAAATGTGCTATGTTCCAAACCTGATGTTTAGAAATACTTTTATCAGCTATTGCCACAGTTCCCAAAGCAGAAACACCCATAAAACACACCTATAGTGATTCTTACAAGCCAAGAACTGTAACCTAGACAGCCAGCTTAAGAATGGATAAACTATGAGAGCTGTAGGGGATGAGGAAGAAGGAAGTGGGGATCAGACAACGCTAAAACTGGAAACAGATTAAGACTCCATTTCAGCACTGAGGTTATGGGCAAACTTACAAACATTCTCAACATGAAAAACAGAACACAAAAGTACTCCAGAACTTTCTAACAAAGCAGAGGCTTTTTCAACCACACTATTCTATTCTTTTTTTTTTTTTTTCCAACCCTAACAGATAGTCTAACCTTCTTATGCAATCACCTGTATGCAAAGAAAAGGGAGAGCAGGTGAAACTTAGTATTCGGTATCAAAACATTAAAGCTAGTTAAATAGCCATTCTGAATTCAGAGAGACAGAATTTACTTTGGTTATATTCATATTTGCTTGGATATTTTCTCAGAACAGAAATGCAAAGTATCCAAAGAGACTGATATTTGGAACAGTTATTTCAGTTGGATGACACTGCAGTGATGGAAAGAGCATGAAAACAATGAGATTTATCCAAATCTCACTAAGTCAAGGAGTATCTTTGACTTTAATAGCCTTTGGACTGGACTCACGGTGTAGCTACAGCAACATGACTCTTATTAATCTGATGAATTTTATGCAACTGAGAGAAAAAAAAAAGTGGTAATACTTGAGATAGCAGTAGATTAAAGCTGATGAATTAGGAAAATCAATAGTGGATCATACCAGTAAAGTGATAGGAAATTCTGGCCGTCTGTTACTCTCTATTAATATACTAACTTTCTACAGAAAAATATACCTAAAGGATAGAAATCATCACAACATTTAGAGTTTGCCATGCCGACAAAAACAGTGGATGGAAGCTAAATTACCTGGCAGAGAAAATTAGCATGCAAACCATGTATCCTTTGACTTTGACAAAGGGGCACGAGTTTGCATTAGAAGAAAATCTAGCCCTGCTTGTAAAACACGCTATAGTTTGATTCTGTCACAGTAGCTGTTACATATGCTATTTAGAAAAGAAGAAAGGAAGAATTTTGGAGAAACGCTTCGGATAAACATGACCCATGAATTCATAGTTGTGGTAAATTGAACTCAGAATTATCCTTTTACACCTTCATTCAAGACTGTTTCAGAATTTCCTGACCAAAGACAAAGAGCACAAAAGCTGAACTGATTTGTATGCGTGTACCTCAAGACATATATTTAAACTTCTGTCTGCTCTTTCAGTACTTGCAATTGAAATGTAGCTAAAATTACCAAATAATAGTTTCCTGCCTTTCTTAAATAGTCATGTTCCTCTCATACTGAGCAAAACACTGGACAAATACAACGGGTCTTCCAGCATGCAGCCCTCTGCAAAGCAAAGAGCAACTTAAAAGGCAAAGATCCCTACTGTGTTTCCAGTCTGTCCTTCTCAGCAGGGAACATCACAAAGCAAAGACGCAGAGGGTAAAATAGAGATTTCAGACAGAAATAACAAAACGTAAACAGAAAACCCCTTTTCATTTTTTTTTTCTGATGACTTGATCAAGACATTTATATGCTTAGTCACTTACTATTTAAAGTAAGTGTTCATTTCTTATTAGAGTTCAAAGGATCTGAATGCCTGTGACTAGTTTACATGACTGAAAGCCATTTATTCTTCCACACAGCATACCACAGGCAGCAGGTTCAGGCACTCATACAATGCTGCAGTTCCATTAGCTTTTTTTCCAATAAGAGGCTTGTGACGACATTTAATAACCATCCTTTCAATTTATACAACCCATAAATACAAGGGGAAGAATATTCCAGCAATGAAATTTTTAACAATATGAAAAGAGTGCTTTTAAAAAGGATTTTAAAAACTTTATAGCTACTTAGAAAGGAGGGTACACAAGGGTACATATCATAATTAAAAGTACTCATTGGAGGAATACAACTAAATTATTTTCCCATTTTTCTTCATAAATTTGAATTTGTCATAAAAAATCTGTTTTTTTTCAGCCTAATACTAGAATACTTCTATTGTTCAAAAATCAAGGAGCTATGAAACTTTATCTGTTTTTAACATATATCATCTTCCTTGCCAAGAAACTTACAACTGAAAACAGGCTGTTGCATAGACCACTTATCAAGGTATGATGACTTTCCAGAGATCTACTACAGATCATAGATGGGAAAGAACCATTCAAAAATATTTTTTTGCCTCTTTTTTTCCCCTCCTTTTGTTCTATCTTGCCAAATTGCCATGGTGATTTTTTTAATATTACAAGTAATTTAAGTACATTTTTTTGTTCTAATCTATTCTAAATCCACCTATTTTTATCCAGTTTAGTTATTTATGTAATATTATTAAGATCTCAAGGACAGGTAGTACAAAGTCCCCACTGCCACTACGTTCATGAGCAGCATTAAAAAAATGCCAACTATAAAAAAACTCACACATTGACAAAATATTACTCAGAGTTCCCTATATGCAAATCTAAAGGTGATAATTACAGGTATTGTTCCACAAAAGTATCTCATGGCAAAGTTTGAGGCAACTCAAATTACATTTGATCACACCCTTTTTAACATTTCAATTCATTAGTGCAGGAGAGCACCCATCAGCAGCACTTCTTCCCTATAAAGGGAGCCTATACTGTAAATCAAGGTACAGATCTCAAGCAATGATGGCAGATAGGCAGGAGGGTATAACTGGCGAGGCAGCACTCTGTTTTTTTAGCCATAATCCTCATTATTGTTCATCTGAGTAAAATGTGAACTTATTTGATTTTCCTCAAGCAAGATCCAGAAGTTGTTTTGCTACTGAAAGGCTTCTGGGGTACTGGAAAAGACAAGGGGGTGGAGGGGAAAGGGAAGAAAGCCAGCACAAAATAAATTTACTTCCATTCACTGTGGTGTGTCATTTACAGCTGCTAATTTAATAGAACAGCTCTTTCCAGATGAAGCTCCCGTTTTGTTCAAACAGCTGCTCCAAAGTCTTACACGTTCCAGGAAAGGGTTTCAAACCAAGAGCACTCAACTTTACTGACAGCACAAAGACGCAGAATAACACCTACCAGCCTAATCTAAACCAGTGATCAAATAATGCAAAACTTAGTTGCTAATTCTTTCCCCATATACAACAAAATCAATAGGAAAGCTAAGCTTCAGCCAAGGCTCAATTCTTTGCTTAATATCAGCCTCACAACTGTTAGGGACTGACCACCAGTGACCTCCCCCAGGGCTATCCGGCACCTTGGATCTGTTTACTTGTCTGCCACAGCCATGGCTACTCCTTAGAGCAAATCTTCTCACCTCCTCTGCAAAGCAAAGAGGTTTCTCTTGTTGGGAAGCTGGCAGAGTTCCACAGTGAAATACTAAGACGATGTGAACGGCCCTCAGATGAGAGAACCTCCTTACGCTGTGGAGCTGCGGTTTGAAACTGAGCAGGGCATTGTCATTTCATATTTAAACTGCCTTGACTGAAAGCCCTAGATAAAGTGGCACGCTATTCTGTCTGTGCACGATGAAAGACCCTGGTGAAGATGACACCAGTAGTCTTTCTTGGCTTGGACTAAGTTACTTTCTTCTTGTACATCCAGTAGCACTCAGTCGTAACAAGGACACACCGTATCTGTAGGGTCTAATACACGGCTGGACGAGGTTGCAGTGTCAGTGCACGGTGCTCGCCTGAATACTCCTTATATGCCACTGCGGTCAGTGCAATCATAGAATCATAGAATGGTTTGGATTGAAAGGGACATCAAAGATCATCTACTTCCAACCCCCCTGCCATGGGCAGGGACACCCTCCACTAGATCAGGTTGCTCAAAGCCTCATCCAGACTGGCCTTGAACACTTGATTACAAAGATTCTGAGTCCATGTGTCAGGTGTCGTTTAAGGGCCTAGACAAATACTGAAAATAATGGAATACTGCAAAGCCACGAGTAAATACCGAGGAATTAACACACACTACTACAAACTACGATGCCACATCTGTGGCACAAAAAGGCATTAGCTGTTGTAACTAGAGATGCTGACTGTAGCTTATGTAGAAAAATAGCAGCTTCTCTGCTATGAGCTCATCACATGCTTTAGTGGCCTGGCAGAGATCAAATAATGTATATTTTCTTTTCATATTTATAAAAAAAAAAGTCCAAGAAACTCTGGAAGGGGGAATGAAGGCAGATGTAGAGAGCAGCAAACAGCAGTCTGGAGTCCCACTTGTGGGACAGGAAAAAGGGAAAAATGGACATGTTAAGTACTGCTCATTTTTATGTAACTTTTCCACTATAAACACTATGGAGATACATTTCGCTTCTAGGAGAGCCAGGGAACTTAAACTGGGAGGGATGATGGAAATATGGTGAGGGCTATGAGTGACGTGCAACAACTGATGTTTATATAACCAAGGGAGAAAAAGTAAACAGTTCTAGGGCAGCAACACATTAATCAAGAAAATTGTTTGCTACTACAATAATACAAACAAATTGAAAAAGAAATCTCCATTTGTAGAAGCGCAAGGCTTCAAGGTGGCATATCAGCTTCAGACTTACAGGGCACACAACAGTTTCAGCATGTTAGACACTTGATTGAACACGGCTTTTGATAACGATTTTAGAGTTTATATGAAAATAATGAAACGTCATGAGTTGCAAGGAGGCGACTGCACTAATTACTGATTGATCCCATTATAAAAAGTATACCGGTGTGAGGGCAGAAAAGGATGACATACTGTGGTAGTAGAGCAAGAGAAATTGTCTGTTTATTCTGGTTTGCTCACCATTCCCTGAGTTTGCCGTCAAGAGTAAGTTCTAGTGGCGTACGTGCCATTGTTTCATGCACACTGAGGAAGACTAAACTAATGTTTACAAAATGATACTTTTTCAAACTCAGCATCAAAGGATGGCAAAGGAGTAATCACCGAGTTTCAATCAGAGCAGTATTACTTATGAACTTAGGGTTCACCTTGAGAAACATGGCAAAATGACTGCCCAATGCAGGAGAGCTCAGGTTTTTCCGTCGGTTTCTCCCTCCTCTTCACTTGAATAAAGTAAGTTGACTATATGTTAAAGTGATCCTATCCATTGTATTTTTTTCTACATGCAGGGGGTAGAATTTGTTTTATATCTGTGTGGACATTCCTGTGATTTGTTTTGTGTTATCTCAGTCAACTCCCTACTTTTCTACTCTCCCCAAGCCTGCAAACATTAAAGACAATTCCACTCACCCTCTTTTCACAGAAATTATGTATACACAAGGAGTTTGTGCAGATGTTTCCTGGATGAAGTTATGCAGCTGCAAAGACTTTATTAATTATAAAATGCAAAATGGATTGTTCTGTAATTGAAAATCTCTGGGGCTCCGATACATTTGAAAATTAACATACATATATGTATGGTCAGGACATAGATGGATGCTGTTAGATTATTTATTACAGATGGATATTTTAGCTAATGCAGAAAAAAGGCTGGTCTTTTTCCACTGGAGCTTTCAAATATTTGCTTCATATTAATGTCTATGGTTCCATAACTCAGGACTGAAAGCACAGCTTGCAGAAACAGTACTCCCACTGCTAGTGTTGCTGACCTCATCTACGATGGACAGGTCCAGAATCTTTATTTTAATCCTATTGACAGTGCCTCAGTGGGAGTAATTATAACAGTCGGCCACAAATCCAGACCTCCTGTCACTGATATATTAGGGTTTTTCACATAGAAAATGAGCAGCAGACAAGGAGGATGAAAACAACATGGGGTAGTGATTATAGCAAGATTTGTCAACCCCCTTCTGTATTAACCTGCTACAAACATATGACAATTTGGCATGGGAGACACCAGAAATACAAAATGTTTAATCTTCCACAGT